TTTGGTCCGACGATTTTCCTTCTAAAATAAAATCTGGCCATGCCTCGCACCCCCAGAAAGGGCATCGTGCACCCCCAGGTTAAGGAAGCACTGACAGGCGGATGCGGGCCTCTGGCAAGCATCCCGTTTCGACCGATGCCGGGCCTAAATCTATCAGAAACCATTCCACTCGTTCACCACGCGTAGTTGGCGAAGGACCGTTGCCCCAGACGTCTGCGACTTCTTGCGACGGCATTCGCGTGAAATGCCCCCGGTGCCGTGCACCGGCTTGTCTCGAGTTATTTACAGGGGTGCTTCAAAAAAATGTGAACACTTCAGAGGATTTGCAACAACGCCACAGGAAATGTGCTGCTGCCTCCGGGCTCTGGAGACCACCTGGAGAAGATTCCAGGCCACGCGTTGACAACGATGACGAACGAGTGGATTTGGACTACGTGTCACGGTGGGGGGGGGGAGGGTGTGGAGGTTCTCGCTTCGAACGTCGACCGCCGACTGAAGTTGCGCGCATTTTCGCTGTCTTGTAAATTACGGACGTCTTCTGGAGCCGTTCGCCGCCTCTCCGCAATTGTTCGAACGACACCAGGGCACGTCGGCCTCACGGTCCCGTCGAGGTGGCGTTCGACGCCGTTGGTTTTTTTGAGCGCGGAAATAGTCGGGCAGAGCGAGGAACCCTCTCGCCACCTTTAACGAGCGCGGCTCCCAGATCGGCCGAGAGCAGGTCCCTCCCTGAATAACAACAACACGTTTAAACAAGCAGACAATGTACTCCTTCTCCCCACGTCCATCCCTCCACGTGACAAAGAAATTAGTTTATTTCGTTTCTGCACATCTCATTGGCCACACCGCCGACGATTAGCACAGTTGTCTGTGTAGGGTTGCGAAATAAGTTCGAGATACATACATACACATTGCAATCCGGGAGTGCATAATTTCAGTAGTATTGGTTCAATACAAGCAAACTCTGGACCGGTTTCAACACACAGTGTCTCATCAGCAGAGTCGGGCTTGCTGTCACCGATGCTGATCAACTGGCAGATGTTTATCGATGTTTATAAACATAATCTATGTGTATAGATGTTTACAGATGTTTTTGGCAAGGACCCTGTCTGTCAGACTTGGTTCTGAGTTCAACGCAAAACTATACTATACATAACGCAAATTAATCAAAGCATCGTTGCGGAAGCTATAACGACAAAAATAAGCAAACGATATTGCTTCAAATATCTGTGCAACTACCTAAACCTGCGTAAGTATATTTTACACATCCCATCAGCGATAAGGCCAAAGGCTGCTTAGTGACTTGCACAACTGCTGCAATGTCCGTGTGCTCTGTACTGACAAGGGGGAGAGACATCCTTTCCATGCCTTCGTCGAATACAGCCAGTTCCCTAATAACGCCCAGTGTTGTTTTCATAACGCGATGAATGTATTAGGGATCACTTTTTTATATAACGTGGATGCGAATTGGATATAACGCGATTGAGTGAACGGAACTACATTGCGTGAGTAGGAATAAGCGGTCGTGCGGCTGTCTCTGCGTAGCGTCATCGCCCAAGCCGTTGGGATGCTGCTGGATGCTTCTAGATGCTACCCACGCGCCTCAGTCTTTGTTCAGCTTGCGAACGCATCTCACGCATTATCGCGGACTGTGCTTTACCCTATACTATAGAAAGTATTGATTCGAATTAGATTTTTCCATAACGCGGTGTTCTTCAGGAACTACCACGTTCGAGGAGAACAGGTATAAAAATATGTAATATTTAAAAAAAAACTTTTTTTAAACACGCTTTTATGAAATGTACTAGTAACGGAAGAACTCCACGACCCCAGGAAGTGGCCCCGAAGCTTGCCACAACGTAAGGGGACCGTGGTGACTTACAGGCAACGTCAGTTGACCGTGGACAATTAGACCCAAGCCGAAACATGACATATAAAAAAGAATGTTTAAAAATATATATATATATTTTATAATAGAATATAGTATTGGCATCAGTATGACATAAGTATACCAAGTTTGCAGTCGATACCACATTGGGAAGTGGGTTAAAATTGAGTTACAAGATTTGAGGATACAACAACAACAATAACAGAGTGAGTTAAATGAAAGCATGTAATAAAAAAAGGAGACAGAGGGCGTTAGTCTTAGGACCAGGGCTCTCGGTGCTTGCTGACTTGGCCCAAGTTGCTGGAACGATCCAAGTTGTTCGGGAGCCAGCACACCTGCAGGAGATGCTGGGCACCAGAGCTACTGAGATGCTGGGCACCAGAGCTACTAAGTTGCAGCGACAACCGCCTGACACTTTTGCAGCAGTCGATTTGATTCAGCGTTTGCTCCCTTCGCCTTTGTTCAACCAACTGTTTTTTTCACCGAGAATCTGCTAACACCGCCCACCTTTCACAATCTATAGCCTAAACCTCTTTATATTATTCATTGTTTTTGAAATTCGCTTCACGAGACAACAATTGAGCTGAGCGTGAACTGTTTTGGCACATCGGAGTTGACATGTTGAGCAGAGTTCAAGTTCATTGTGCGATGTGCGTCCTACATAATAATTTAACAATCATGCTTTCGTGACTAATATTCATAATAGAGGTTTTTTATGGACTAGATCGCGTAAATATAAACGTGTCATTAAACCCACAACCAATTCGTAAAGTTTGTTACGTGACAAACCTTACTAATTGGCTGTCGGGTACGCGATCTAACCCAAAAACCTCAATTATGGATACATCATAATTCTCTGCTTTGTGCGTTTTTTATTAAAATATTTGTATTTTATGTCTCCGTGGAAATGGCATAGTTTTCAGTGCTCTGGCAATGTAATTACAACCATGGAGCCGCAGTCCAGGGAGGCCCAGATGGCAGCTTATTCAGAGGGGGGAGAAATTGTACAAGGGGCCACATTTCCTTCCTTATGTAGTGACATAGACTTGGTCACTTAGTAGCATGGCGCTGCTGGCAGGGAAGGGGATCTGCAGCTTGCAGCAGCCCTGACTGACAGCAGGTCACGTGATAGATCAGAGAGGGATGTTGGGGAAAGGTTACGGAAGGGGCACACCGAGAACTCGCTAGTAAGTTCCAGAAGGGGGGCGTGGCCAGGGTGGAGCCAGGCCACGTTGACAGTATAAGAGGGGCCCCGGGAGGGGACCTCAGGGCTGTCGTTTGGAGTGGGATCCCCGTTGTCGTTGTTGCTGTTGAAGATCGTCGCCATCGTCGTCACTTGATATAGTGTGCTGCCAGACGGTAGTTGGCTGTCTCGGTTAAGCGCCGTCAGTGTCAGACGGCTAGCGTTGTGTGTAGGCTCGCAAACGGTGTAGAGTTAAATTTTGATTTAAAGCTTTCGTGACTGCAGTGATTCATATTCTTGGTTTTATATATATATATATTTTATTATTGTATTGTTTCCCTTCAACGTGACTTTACCGAAAGAACCAAGAATACGGTGTAGAGTTGTGTATAAGCGAGAGACAGAGGAGTGTGTAACAGTGTAGGGTGTGTATTGTACAAAGTGTGCTCGGTGTTGATTAAAGTACTGCCTCCAAGAACTTACGTCTCCAAGTCAGTCACTGCACTTACACCAGGAGGGCCCATGCCAACCACACCACGCCACTGCTTCATGTTTTATTCATGCATGCGTGGTCTGCGACTTCAATCCATGGGCTATGTGTATTATTACATGAAAAAAATACATTTCTTTAAAACAGTTTTTTTTTGTTTTGATTTATAGCTTTCGTGACTGCAGGGATTCATATTCTTGGTTCTTTCAATAAAATTCTCACGACGTTTCTACTGCAACACAAGCAGTCGAAACGTCGTGAGAATATTATTGTTTTTTTATTTTTATTATTTTATTGTTTCTCTTCTAGTGACTTTACCGAAGGAACCAAGAATATAGTTTTTTTTGTGTTTAGATCGTTGTCCTTCCCCCGCACCTCTGATTGTAGCACGGTTGGCTGCGTGCGGTACAAAATAAGTTCAAAATACGCACAACATACCTATATAGCGCCCTGAGAAGAATTGTTTAAGGGCGTTTCATAAATTAAAATCATTACACGGCGTACATACATCCCAGGATCGTGAGAGGTGGCGGGCGGCAACTTGGGGAGCTTTTCCATCCAGCAGTAGATTGACCGTGGCCGACGGTGATTACGACTCTTTGAAGCAAGGCCAAGCCATGGAGTCAACATTGGGGGGACCAACTCATTTCCTGCCATTTCCTGCCTAAAATATTTAAAAATGCACTAACACATGGGATAGACTTTTTTTTATTTACAATAATGTCTAAGAGTGTATTGTATTACAGTGTTCTGTTTTCTCTCTTTTTTACCTTTTCTTGTTTCATTGTATGTAATGGCAGAAATTAGGGATTCATAAAGTATAACCATACATATGTACAAGCTTACTGACAAATATAACGTAATAGACATTAACCTTAGTTGAATACGCCCGTGAGCACCATTGTTGGCCGCTGGGTGAATGTGTGCCTAATTAACTTTCCAAGTAGCTATGATAGCCAACATTCGTGATGGTTGATTCATTAGCAATCGCAAATCGGCCCGTTTTCACCAAAAATGTTTATTCCCACTCGACAGTGACATAGCCTACGTGACACTCATATTACATTCTAGTTTTCCACTTTTTAAAATAAATTTGAAAGTAATGAAATGGAGAGACAGGACAGTGTTTGACATTGATTGTACCTACCCACAGCAGTCGAGTAACGGCTTTTGCTGGGGTACGGCAACACCACTTGGACAAACCACACGCAGAACTGCAGTACACCGTAATACTAGAACCGGTAGTAATAATAATGGCAATTTGTTAAGTTTAGTTATGATTATGATTGCATTTGCTAATTATTATTTTGGACGGCGGTGCGTGGTTGCCTGTCGTAGCATAGCAATTATTCTTATATCAATATATTGGGGGGGATATTTTGAGCATATTTGAATATTGGGGGGGGGAATGTGTTCCCCCCCCCAATGTGTTCCCCCCCCCCCCCAATATATATTATAATTACGGCCTTGCTTTGAAGATAGGTGCACGCAAACAGGTCTGAATACTGGCATGCGCACGGTGCGACGGTAACTCCTAGCCCCACCCCGAGTGCAGAGGATGCACGAAAATAAAAACAAAATAAAAACAAGAAGAAATGCCTCCTCCGTTGGGGCTGGACCAGAGAGTTGGGAGGGGACGGGTATTTGGGGAGGGGGCTACTATTAAACTGCTCGGTGCTACTTGCGAGCTGCAGCATATCGGCACGCATGCGTGTCAATTTGGACGTCGACGGACGAGAGAGAGAGGTAGAATTTAAAAAAAAATCCCAACATCTGGCTTCGTCCATCCAGGTGATTGCGTTGGTGACCTCGTCAGCCTGGGGCCGAATTGCACGGCCACTCTCACGCTCGAGTTGCAAGGGAGGAGAAGAACTTCCTCGAGGGGTGTCGACTTTTGGCCCAGTAGACCTCGCTCCTCGCGCAGCGATCGAAGGTGTCGACTCTCTCTCTCTCTTCTCTCTCTCTTGGTGCCGTGGACGATGACGGGGGAAGCCAGAAGGATGGATGTGCCAGTGATCCTGGTTCTGCTGGTTGCCCTCTCTCCGCTCCTGATGTACATCGGTAGGTCGCGCATTGTTGACGAGTTCTTGCATTATGTTTCCTTTTTATTCGCGTGAGAAAATTGCAGCGATTTTTTTTTACCTCTGTTTTTTTGTTTTAAAAAACGCCCTTTTTATTGTCCTTTTAGTTTTCAAATTTGTTTTAATTCTAACAAACGCAACACACATAACCCAGCTCTTGGGTTTCGTAGGCAACTAAGGCAATACCTAATTTGCCTTAGAAGTTATTTTCTACAATAATGCTTTGTAATAATGCTTTGCATTATTGCAGAGGTCTCGTTTTTTTAACTAAAATATGAAAGGAATTCATGTGAACATGCCAAGTACAAAATTATGTCATGGTCATGAGTGCCATATTTTGATTGTACATGTGTATATATTTGTAGGGAATGCATATTTGCAGAACTGCAAGAAAACCTGACATAAGTTGCAAATTTATGTTATTTATGTTTCACCCAAGTATGCAATTTTCATTAAACCATTGTGATATATGGAGCTGGCAGGCCAGCACGTTTGTGTGGGTAACCTTTCACGAAAGGCATCAAACGGATAAATCAAAACACTTCTCAAAATATTTTTGTAACTTTCAAATAATGGTTATTACCTACTTTATTACATTTCTGGTTTTCAAGCAGACAAGCGCCAACATGGTCTAAGCGTCCCATTTTTTTTAGAGATGGCGCTCTCCATCACGCTGTGCAACCCTGCGAACATGTGGAGCCGGCTTCAATGTTTTTTTGTCGGGATCGTTGAGGGATAGCCGGGCCATGACGCCAGATCGTAACCTCTCAGCCGGTACCCGCTGCCTCAAGAGCATGAAAGTTTATTTTTGTTTCATGGTTGGCGGGTGATGGGGAGAGGGGGGGGGTATGGTTAAGGAGAGCTCACAGAAGACTGCCACTTCAAACAATCGCACACTCCCACAGAAAGATAAGCTTCCACAGTGCAACATGTTTATGGCCTCGGGCGGAATAAGGACACAATTTATAAAGCCGCGTACCCCATCGATCATATCCCGAGTCACCAAACATCACGCGGTCGTAGTGGACATGTTTAATGGCTTGTTAGAGGTAATTGTGGGAAAAGTAATTCTCATTAGGGTTACCATCAGGCATTGCATATTTTAAATATTGTTTGTCTACAGAGTAATACTTCCCCACTCCTGGACCTTAACCAAGAAAGAGAACTCTTCATACCAATTTGGCTGCAGATGTAACTTTTTTACGAATGCGCTTTGTTAATGTCCCTTATCGGATATCCCATAAAATATATTGTATCATTTTAATTGACATTTCCACTTTAAAAATACACCCTCTCACATTGAATAACATTTTTTTCAAGTTTTCAGAATGTGAACGGTAAATGCATTTAATAATTACAGAATTGCAAATCCTGTTAATGTGAAATTATACACTTAAAAAAGATTATATTTACCCAAAAAAAAATATATTGAGAATGTCATGCAATTTTAATGCAAGGGTTTGAACACAAAATGTGTACATAAGAGTCACTGTTGACTAATTGGATGGCAGTTATACTTGGAATGCAGAAACTATGCCTTGTGTTTGCAATTATGATAATTATACAACGGCGATTTGCAACGCGATAGGATTTCTGTGAGAATGTTTGTAGCCGCAAGCAGCAGCAGCGGATCGAATGCCAACAACTTTGGTTACGTTTTACAAGCTGTCGTGAAACTGTGAATTGTAAAAATAACGTCTTGGCTTTAAATTGATTTACATGCATGTGTAGACGATACTTGTACATGTACATTTTGATGTCATTTACGATCTGGAGAATCGGTTTGAAAGTTAAAATACGTATTTTTTTAAACCCGCTGCTGCATGACGGTCTCCCCGCACCATGTATGTCCCTGGGGAATCGTTCGGCCAGAATTAAATTGTGCTGGTCAGTATAGGGTTAGTGAAGAAGCTCACAACAACGAGCAGCGCACTGGGTGGCTAAAGCGCAAAGAGCTGGCAGCGTGGGGAATACAATCGGTGCATCTGACAGCCATCTCAGTGAACCCACGGCACATGGGTCTGTTCCGTGACCTCCCGCAAGCGGGCCTACGACACATCACGTGGCCTCACAGTGCACATAGCATGGCACAAAGCGCCATGGTGACATCACCGCCACTTAGTGGTGAACGACGGTTGTTATGTAATTGAAGGAGAGGGTCATGGATTCATTCAGATGTCACTCACTACTGATGTTAGCCATGGCCAGGTATCGAACTCAGGTCAACGGGTTCATAACACAGTGCAAGCACCACTCTACATTAACATCCTTATGGCATTTTATTTCAACTGTCAAGAAGCCATTCAGCAGCAAAAAACATTCAAAGCCACGAAGTGAAATTTGTGCGTCGCTTATTTTTAAACTAAATAACGCAGACTGTGACTGAAATATTCATTTACATTCACTGAACAGTAATCTTCTCCTGAATTCTTCGCGATTTTGGGGGATCTCGATGGGTTCTTCAAGTGGACACTAATTTATCGCTTGGCGATAATACAGGAGGAGGAAGGGCCTCGACCAGAGGGAGCTATAGAGAGAGCCCCCTCCCTCTATGAGGGTATTTAGCCTCACATTTTTACACCCTGGAAGAGGCGGGAGCACCCACACTATTACCCAACTACAGGTGGCCCGCTGAGCAACTCACTTTGGTTTAGCGATTTATAATGCCAGGCAGACCACAGGCAGGGGGATGGAAATCAATAATCTGGTCTGTTGTTTCAGCTGTCTCGCCGGGAACTTGAAACGGCGACCTGGATTGCAAGTCCAGAGTGCGCTATCCGTTACACCACGACAGCGTCCCGACATTTTCACTTCGCGGCTAAAATAAATCAATGAAAATGCCCTTGACAGCTTCTGCACGGTGTGTCACACCGCCGCCGCTTCGATGCGTTGGCTTTATTTTCCATTCCGCGTACGAGAGCCACCATCAGCGACCTCTGGTTTTCAATTAGAACCTCCGATTGGCTACGTACGGTGCAAAATAAGTTCAACATACGTACATACTATGAACTATTTTTATGTTACCAGGTAAGGCCTTCTGAGCTAAATATCCCTTTTTCAGAAGCGACCTGGCCACACATGATAGCTCAACGAAGTGGCTTATCATGTGGGAATTTATAGCAGCCAAATACTCTAAACGCATGATGTTGATTCTAAATGCGGAGTGAAAAAAACCGGAGAACCTGGAGAAAAATTCATGCGACCACGGGGACAGAGACATGCAAACTCCAAATATGCAGGCATCGTCAGGGTCGGAATCGAACCCACGACCCCCTGTATACCAGGCGAGGTAGTTAACAACTCGTTATCGCGGCGCCCTTAAGTGCCCGAGTAGTAGCATTACCCGGCGAGCGAAGTTCTCGCCCGCCACGAGGACATTCCGCGTCGTTTCCGAGAAGTTTGGCCTCGAGCTGCGCTACCGCTTGCCGCTTGTCAGCAGGTGCCAGGGCGCAAAGTCGGAGCGGCGAGCAAACTCTGCGGGTCGCTGGCCGGGGAGAGGAGCGCGCGGGCACGCACGCACGGTACAAGCGCTGCACCTGCGAGTCCTACCTGGACCGGGAATGCGTCTACTACTGCCACCTGGGAGTCATCTGGGTCAACTCGCCCGAGTAAGGCGTCGACGCGCTTGGTGGACGGAGCTCGCGGCAACACCGAGCGGTTGTCGTCATTATTACCATCATCGTCAGGGTGATCGTTTGTTATCGATAACGTCGTCATTATTACCATCATCGTCAGGGTGATCGTTTGTTACCGATAACGTCGTCGTTATAATCGTTAATTGATAATTCATTTTTGGGTTTGGCCACGGTGATGTGTCGTTAAGTACCCCCACCACCCGACATTGACAGGCAATCATTAGACCTCTTTTGCCAGTACCAAAATATAGTAATAGGGTTTTTCCCCTTTTTTCTGGCAACAAAACTGAAACCTTTTTACAAGGATTCATGTTTACTGCATTAACCACAATACCTGCAGTCAAAATGCAAACAAAAGACATACTATGATAATATATGCATTGTCCTTGAAACTGATTGGTCCACACCAAGGGACGGCTTTCTTTTGAGCCTTGTGTGGGGGCTACCGTCCCCCGCCATCACTGAATTGTCGGGGCCATTGCCCACCGACTCCCCCGTTCCATTCATACCGCTACCCCCCGGCTGCTCTGTCAGGTCCAGACTACCGACCCCTAATGCCTCGCCCCCCTGTACCTCTGCCTGGGATGTCGACCGCGTTTGCGTAGCTTAATTAGCGGCTCGTACGCTTTGCGCTTGCGATGCGCTACCCTGTTCAACGGCGGCGTGTCGCGGTGAGCGCGCTGGCAAAGCAAAACCCCGTCCTGCACGGGAATAAACAGGCGCGGCGCGCCCCCCGTGGGATTCCCTCCCACCCACGCTCCACGCGCTTAAGCAAAAACAACCACGCCGCAATTACTTTGCTCCGATTTAACGGGCTGTTTACACAGCTGCGTATTCACACACGCCAGGCGCTTAATTCGCTATCAGACAATCGCGCGAGTGCGCGACCGCCACCCCGTCACACAGGCGCGCGAGCGCAAAGCGCTACTGTAGGCTATTGCGCAGATACGCGAGCGCTGGGCACCACCGAAAATAGTCGTGTAGGTACGCGCGCGCTGAACAATACTGTAAACGATCGTACAGCTACGGACACTAAGCACGTTCTACTCCCTTATTCGCTGCAAACAGCCGCGTATGCGCGCGAACACAAAACACTCTGTACACACTCGTACCGGTATGCGAACACCAAACACTCCGTCTCCCTCCTCGCACTCACAGTGACCATGACACAGCTTTATCCTATTAGTGGTTTTATTCCCCGCGAGTATCGAACTAGACTGTGCGTGTCAGTACGGACCAGTTAGACAGGTCTAACCTATCTCGCTACTGCCTGATACTTAATCGACCTGTCTGCCCTCTATTTTCTCTCCGAATTTCTTCCCTTTGTCTTACCTCTCTCCCTCGTACTTACGGTCCGACCTCGCAGCGATGGAGGTCGCGGATAGATGATGCTGTAAGCAGAATCTGGCTGTTCTCTGCCCCGTTTCACGGACGTGCGAGTAACAGTCAGGTGACGGCTCCTCGATCCCTCCCTCCAGTTGATCTCCAGTCAAATAAAAAATGGCTCCGTGCTTTCCCAAAGCGTCCCTTTTATGCTCCTTTCAAAGCCCTCGCACCGCCCATCTGCGGTGCATCACGGGTCAGGCCGTTAATCCGCGGTGCATCATGGGTAGGACCGTTAATCCGCGGTGCATCATGGGTAGGGCCGTTAATCCGCGGTGCATCATGGGTAGAGACGCTAGCCCGCGGTGCACCATGGGTAGAGACGCTTAACCCATGCTGCCCCGCTCCCCACCTGTCTGCTGGTCCGTGTGTATCTTGGGCATCTCCTCACTGCGGTTCTCAGTGAGTTCGCCGTGGTCATTTAATTCTAAGTTAAGCCAAGGCGCCATTTGGCCTGGGGGGGGGGGGGGGGGATGGCGGGGGAAGTGCTGTGATGGGAGCCGGGTGGCTTCTCGGTCGCAGCAGCACAGCGACGGCCCCGGTTTCAATGGAGCGGCTTCGCTGTTGTGGCACCACACTTGACCCAATTGGTGCTCGACCAGATGACGCCAAAAGGCATACAGCTCAAAGACAATGCACTTCAAAGTAATAAGGGCTCGGGGTGAGCATCTACATCATTAGACCTCCTTTGCCAGTACCAAAATATATGTGCATTGTCTTTGAGCTGTACGCCTTTTGGCGTCATCTGGTCGAGCACCAATTGAGTCGAGGCTCAAAATAAAGCCGTCCCTTGGTGTGGACCAATCAGTTTCAAGGACAATGCATATATTATCATAGTATGTTTTTTGTTTGCATTTTGACTGCAGGTATTGTGGTTAATGCAGACATGAATCCTCGTAAAAAGGTTGCAGTTTTGTTGCCAGAAAAAAGGGGAAAACCCCTATTATTATATTTTGGTACTGGCAAAGGAGGTCTAATGATGTGGATGCTCACCTCTAGCCCTCATTACTTTGATAGTGCATTGTCTTTGAGCTCTACGCCTTTTGGCGTCATCTGGTCGAGCACCAATTGGATCGAAGCTCAAAAGAAAGCCGTCCCTTGGTGTGGACCAATCAGTTTCAAGGACAATGCATATATTATCATAGTATTTTTTTGTTTGCATTTCGACTGCAGGTATTGTGGTTAATGCAGACATGAATCCTCGTAAAAAGGTTTCAGTTTTGTTGCCAGAAAAAAGAGGAAAACCCCTATTATTATTATTATTGACAGGCAACTTAAATTGTCACGCTAAAAAAGCTTGTGCACATTGTCACGACTTACAATCCGGAAATACAACTTAAAAAATGTACGACGAGCTTGTACATCAATTGTTTCTTGACACTGTTCACTGTCAATGACAAAAAGTCTTTCATGTACCAGTGAATATACTCTCGCTTCTCTAGTTGAATGCTGCTGTTTAGCTGAGGGACACTGCTATGGTATAATGGTTAGCACACCGGACTTGCAATCTCTAAGCAAAGTCAGTTGAAAAAATGGTGCACGTTTCTTTCCACGGGAGTATGAATGGGTATGCCACAGCTAATCGATCAGCAGGTCCTGTGTGGTGGGGTAAAGTGTGCGTAATCCAACCTCTTCCATGACATCTGGCCAGGTTGTAGGAGTGGCAGCCCTTCCGCCGGAAGTGGATTGAGAAAGTGACTGCTGAGCTGCACCTTTGCCTATTTCATCGGGGTGGAGTGGCGGCACAGTGATTAGTTCATTGCGCTATAAACCCGGCAACCCGAATTCAATTCCCACACAGTGGCTAACGGCGGCGAGAAACAGCGGAACCATCCGCACACAGAAAACGTGAAGCGTGCTCATAACAACCCCCCAAGACCGACGGCGCGTGGAGAGGCCTTCAGCAGTAGCTTGAGAAATGGTGTTACACATGGCCACGTTAGTAGTAGTGTAAACAGGAGGCCCCTTCCACCAGCAGTTGCATGAGCAAGAAATGTCAGGGCTGCACGTTTACCTTATATGTAAATATATATACAGGGTGCTTAAAAAATGTTTTAACACTTCCGAGAGTTTGCAACAACACCACGTGGCATGTGCTGCTGCCTCCAGGCGATGGAAACCACCTGGAGAAGATTCCAGGCCACGTGTTGACAATGATGGCGAACGAGTGGAGACTCTTTGACTTTTTGAAGCTCTTAACATTACATTTGTTATCATGTTACAGTTTATTATCCGTTCTTTTCTCCCATTAAAAACGATAGTCCCATTTACGTGTTAACACTTTTTTGAAGCACGCTGTATATATCAGCCACAGCTTCGATTCCACCAAAGTGCCTGTCTTAGCCGTTCGGCCGCCACTCACCCCCCCCCCCCCCCTCCCGCCGCAGGAGAACTGTGCCCTACGGTGTCGGAGGCTCTCATCGTGACAGGAGATCGACCCTCGGCAGCGTCGACGATGTTGGGGCATTGCTGCAGCGCCGAGCGGTCGCCCACAGGTGTGCCTGCTCCATGCGCAGCGACAGGCCCTGCAGGCTTTTCTGCCGGACTCGGGAGCCTCCCCCAAGCTCTTAGTGCACGTGGCCATGCGTGCACATTCTGGGATCCCGGGAGAGCGATCGCAGTTTGCGCTGCCTTCTGAGATACTCGGGTGTTGCCGGGGGCCGCTTTGAGAGAGAGAAAAAGAAATTTCAGCGTGAAAATTATCAATGTGATGACAAAAAGTGATTACATATTACCACTCCCCCCCCCCCACCGCCCACCCACCGAACTCCCACCTGATTGTTAGGGGGTCCGCTTATTTACTGCGTGTGGGACTTGGTGATATGTTGGGTTTTTTCAGGGCAATGAATCTCAAGAAATGATTGTCAGAGGGAGTAAAGCGAAAACTTCTGGAAAAAGTGATCCGAGACACTGAACGGAAAGAAGCGACGGAGGATGGCGCATTGGCAGCAACGTTCTACGCAGAGCATCGTCAGCCACCACAGACTTCAGCTGCCACGGTTGTGGTCCCCGGAGCCACTGAGCAAACGGAGCAAAGAGCATCGCAACGCCAAGAGCAACGGCATCTTTATGACCGTCGTGGCCCACGTCTCCTATGTTATTCCAGTTCGCAACAGGAGATTATTATTATTTTATTGTTGTTGTGAAATATTAATTTAAAATAAATATATAGGGTAAAACGTTGTTGCAACATTTGTTAACGTCATGGGTTTTTTTTCTTTCAATTATGTTTTTTTTTATTACAACAACAAAATGCGAGCCTGACATACCACGCCGAAAAGTTTCAGCAACAGAGTACGATAGATCCGTCGACCATTCACGTCGTGCTTTAACTTCTCATGAAATATTTCACAGAAGCCACGACCCCCCCCCCCCCGCCGCCTGCCCTGCCCTGTCCTGCCAGGGGAAATATATTTTCTCAGCCACGGACAGGTTGAAATTAAGCCCCGGTCTACATGACATTTCATGTTAACCCAATACAACTATTTACAAAGAACTATTTACAAAGAAATTACCGAAAGAACCAAAGAGTAATTCCAGCAGTCACGAAAGCTTCAAATCAAGTTTAAATCACAAACAATTACTTCCATTACTCAAAAAAGTGTATTGACTAATTGTATCATTGTACTCCGTAAATATAAACGAAACAATTCTAATAAGAAGCTTTATGCCACGTAGGTTTTATATATAAATATATAACTCTATCATACAAAAACATTTATATCAGACGTATATAATTGTATTAATTATGTTCTAATGTCTGTTAAAGCGTGTTGTCGAACGTGAAAGAAATGTGTTTAATATAAAATGCAGTGCTGGAGAAGTTACCCGTTTGTGAATATAAGGTTTTGTTTATTAAGCAATGGCTTCACGGCTTCTTATTGCTTGGCTCTACAATGAGGCCACATTTACTCTGAACCATAAGGTCACCCTCTCGCGTGAGAGCACAAGTGGAAACCTTCCTAATTTCTGGGGCATAAGTCAGAGGGGGATAAGACAGTTTGGGTTACAAGATGGATGGTGTTGTCAATTCTTTGAAAGAATCACCCATTGCCGTCCACAAATTCTAGCGAGGACACTTAACAACCCTGGGTAGGAACCTGATGTCAAGCTGTTCACCCCGTTTGCCCCTTCAGCTCATAAACCCCTGGTCACCTCTGAGTTAACCCCACAGACCCCACATCTACAGTAAGTCCTCCTCTACTCAATGGTCCCAGTAAACCACCCTAAGTATGGTCCATATTAATCTACCTCAACACACTTAAATGAAGCGGCCTGCCAAACACACTTTTGCTGACATGACTACAGTTTTGAAGCGTGCGCTTTCATTATTGTTGTTTATAGAGTTTTGCTATTTCAAACTGAGTAATTTTTGCCAATGTAACACATTTCTCATGGATGGCAAAATATATTTTTAAGCAAAACAAGATAATAAGGCAGGCTCGCAGCTGCCAATACTTTTATTTTATTGGATACTAAAAGGAGCCATAGTTGTATGTACAATTCCATATTCATTTTTCTAAATGAACTACATTCTCCCAGAACATTACTGACTTTGCACATTTCTGTTTAGAACCTAAGTTGCAGCGATTTCCTGCTCACTGCCAGATGATTACACGTGCCCTCTGTGGGTTGAGTGTTTCGAGTCAGCTGTGGGATGTAATTTCCAGTTCACACTGCCAGTTGGTCAACACCTTCCTTCATCATGGGGGTTGTTGGAATGACGGTTGCTGCTGTTTCAAGATTGCCAGCGAAGTAAGTTTGGGAAGTTCCAGCTTCCCCTACATGATTTGTTAGAGATTATTAGTCATGAGCCACAAGCTCATGGAAAGTTGGCGGAATGGTAGTGGCAGCATTTGGAAAATGATGTGTGCAGTAATTTCACAGCTGTGAAAAGCATTCTGGGTTTTTCCATGTTGGTGACAAACCACATGTTGTTGTTGTTGATGTTCTGCTCAACAGCAGCGTTTTTTTTACAAAATATGAGCTCAAAGAAAATGTTAAATTGCAGCTGAACTTTACAGGAGGTAAGCGCTGCAGTTTGCTAAAACATGTCTCCCACGTAGAGGTTTGAAAAGTGGTGAAAAGATTTAAACAGGACAAATGCCGTTAAAAAATGACAAGCATGTGAAAGCAGACATCCCAAATTTGGCTGTGTTGTCCCCTAAACGAATCTACGATTCTGTCATTATTCTGTAAAAAAAAAAGGGACAAATCCGTGTTTGTAGTACCTGAGAAAATATGGTCAAATTCAATCACTGGGCTTTCCAATGATATATAAGTGCAGGTTAACGTTGGGGCACCGTTACAAATATTCAAATATTTGTCTCGACTGGAAAGGGATGTGTTTGTGCAGGGGGCGTTCCTAGACTCGCTGCTGCCAGCAACTGGCGTCCCAGGCGAACCGCGCAATGGGCACCTCCACTCCCCAAACCCCAAGGGCAGATCTAGACTGAGGTTTTTGGTAAACTGGGAAACATTTTACCACTATTTTCCATTCAATGTTTTTTTTGTGTGTATTTTTTTAACAGAGGGCATAATTATTCGGTTTGTCCATCCGTCCGTCAATCTGTCCAACCAATATATTATAATTCATGTTCCCTCTGCACGCGCACGGGAATTGAAACAATGACATCTTCATTATTGTAGTAGTATTTTTTTCCCTCGAATTTGGCGCCCCACTTAACTTGGCTTCCTTGTCGACCGTCTAGTTCACCCATATGAACGGGCCGCCCCTGTACTTGTGTGCCCTACACTTTTGGAAAAGTTGAGTGTACTGTGCACCTAAACGCATATACTGTTCGTATTGCTTAAATAATGCCACTGTTTGATAACTTTTTACGAGCTCTTTTGCAGTACAATATTATTTTTCCAGAAAAGTTGTTTATCGTGCATTTTATTTACATTAAGGGATACAATATAGAATACAATATAAAGCTGCTTACACTATACAGTATATCAGCCACAGTTTTCAATAACTGTTTTGTTTAATGAATGTGAGTAAATGGTTATTTGTGAGATTTGTATATGACAGTGCAATACACCGCTGTATCCGAACATTTTTTTTATCTGAGTAAATGTTGATCTTTCTATTACCCACAGCTGCGTTCCTTTGTTTTACAACATAATGCTCACACTACACTGTTGCGGGGGGGGGGGGGGACAGACAACAACTTCTGATACAAGCACACTTGGAATATAAGCCAATATTCAGCTTCTACACTATATCAGCAGTTTCAAAATCCGAGCTTGTGCCTGCATTTAGCTCTTGTCTATTATATACAAGTCAAATATTTTAAGGATGATCCTTTAAAAAAAGGATATATATGTTCAGGGTAAGCCCGTTGAGTACTTCACTTGCGTTGAGATTAAGTGCCCGGCTAAACTCACTGAATACTTGTTCATGCCTTTTGGGTTGTTTATTCATTGCTTGTACGGCTACAGAGCGGAGGATCAGGCCACGCGTTAAATCTCATTACAGTGGCAGCGCAACACCAAAAACATACCACGAATTGCTGCTGCGTATTTTTAAGGAGAGCGTGGGAGTCGGGGGGGGGGGGGGGGGCGGGGGGGCTCTCTCTATCAAGAAAACAAGAGAGAAAGAAAGAGAGAAGGGGTGAGTGTGGAGTTGCCCTGAAGTGCAGAACGTGACTGAGCGTGGGTCGCGCGCGTCGAACTCTGCCGCTGCAACAACAACAACAAACAAACTGGGAAGGGAGGGGCACACAGGGGCAGTCGCCCTCTTTGGCCCTGAAACGAAATATTCTGTTCGGGTGTGGGGGTGTGGTGGGGGCCCGACACTTTGCAGTGTTTTGGAACCTGACTGAAAGAGCGAGGAGCATTGTTGAAATGTGGTTTGAGTGGCGGCATCTCCGTGTCGTTAAACAGCTTCTGTCTTCGAAACGCCCGCCTCTCGGATTTCAAACCATTAGAAATTTAAACCATTAAAATTCCTCTGCACGCGCGCAGGCCAGCCCCATCATGGAGAAGGACCCCACACCCACCCCCCATCCACCCCCCCCCCCCCCCATTTGTATGTAACATTTAAAAAAACACTTATAAAATTGTCTTAACGTGATATATAATGTGACTCCATCAGCCCATGAGCCTCCTGGGCTAAAGTTTTCCAGCAGGCAATCCCATGGAGAGGTTTCGACTTTCTGAGTCTCGCGAGTAGAGTCTGACGTCTTCAGTAAATGCTGCTCGGCAACCATGTGTTATGAGCAAGGGACATCCACAAGCACAATGAGGCCTCTTCAGGGACAAAGGCTACAAATTATGCAAAAACATGTTAGTCCAATGATGTTAGTCGCCGTCGTGGAGGATTGCTATTATGAGCAATGAAGTGGTTTCTAAATAAACAGACGTTCTGCCTCGACCTTATGAATCAGTGTTTGGCAGATTGTATTTAATTGAGAAATAATGCGAGGAACTGAACTTTTTGATCTCAGAAAGATGTCACGTTTATTTTACTGCCCTCTCATTTATCGTGAATAATTAAATTATAATTCTTAGGTTCAACATCTTATAAATGTACTACATAAAATATACATTCCATTGGATTCATGTCGGTTGAAAATGGTGTGATAAATATTTTCTTTAAATCCCAGCTATATTAACTGCAACTATCCCAAATGTTTATTTAACATTTTACCCCCTAAAGCATGCACGAAGGTTAATAAAGCCTCTCGGAGAATTTCGTTTTCAGCTTTGCTCCTCAGCTGTGAATAAAATTGGGGGGTGGGGGAAAGCATTTTGCAGAATAAACTTTCATACCAGCTGAATGGTCAGGGTCAAGCTGTTTAACTCATAGATGCTAACACTGCGTGTGAGACAGGGCGGACAGAGACGAGTGGGGACACCACACCTTGGCTCGTAGTTGCTCGCTCGAGTGTAATCTCACAACAGCGAGGAATGCATCGGGCATATGTTTCATGCAATGCCAGTCAATAGTGTAATTCACTGTTTGTGTCACGTGCCAGCACACCACTCGGTTGCTCGAGCAGGAGGAATCCCAGTTGTAAGGAGGACGAGGTTACGATCCAGGTGGGTAAAATAAGAACACACATCTTCTTGGTTCTTTCGGTAAAGTCACGTAGAATGAGAATAAAACAATAAAACAAAATAAGACAATATAATAAGACAATATTTTGTTTTATTGTTTTATTCTCATTCTACGTGACTTTACCGAAATAACCAAGAAGATGAATCCTTGCAGTCACGAAAACTTTAAATCGAAAGAACACACACCCCAATGAGCCACCACTTGTTGGCAGATGAACAATTGTTGTCTTCCAAAAAGTCTGTCCAATATATGTGGCATCAGAAAGTGTCCTATCCACCACTGTTTCAGGACCAGCAATGGAAATAAACACCGATAAACGTTTGGAAGCGGGGACACTTTGATCTTTTCACAAGCGATCGTAGTGATCGTATTAATCGCTTGCAGACTTATATGGGATAGGCATGTTGAAAGAATAAAAATATACCGTCAAAGGCCTTGTACTGCCATGTGGAAGCGAGGAGTAGGGCCATCCATGCGAGACGTGGATTGATGGCATGAAGGAGGGTTCAAGGCAGTAAAACGGAGGCCTACGGGACGCGATTTACGTGACCAGAGAGAGGAACACGTAAAAGAAGAAGCTCGTTACAGCCACGTGACTGCTTTTTGTTGTTGTCATTAGAAATGTTTTATCGCGTTTAGTTTGTTGTTCTTCCCCCCACACCTCCGGTTAGCACGCTTGGCCAGGAACGGGGCGAAAGAATTTCAACGTAGGTACTTGACGCGAGGGATGAAAAACGAAAGGAAAGCTCGCCGCGCGTCAACACCGTCAGCCGCTGCTCAGACTCGACCCCGGTTCGGCATGGGCACGTGGTGCCACTGGGTCACTCCGTCCGTCTGCTCGGCTTCGCTCCCCCCTCTATCCGGATTCCACTCACTCAGCAAATGAGGCCACGTCGGACTCATGTGGCTCAGTTCAAATGGGCACTCGAACATTCGGAGCTGGGCCCTCCCCCCTCCCCCACCGCCCCAGCTGTGGACAGCTGCGAAAAAAGCTTTATATCTCATTGGATTCCTCCAGTATACATACATATTGTATTGTCGCCGTTTGTATATTGCAAGGCTATCACGTAGGCGCTATTGGTGCAGTTGGCGCCGATGATGGCAGCCTCGGCCGGTTGGTGCACCCTGTTTTGCCCGGTTTTGTCTTGTTTTGCTTGATCACCTGTGCTGGTGATAGAGGCCTGCTGTTCAGCACACCTGTGCTGGTGAGAGAGGCCTGCTGTTCAGCACACCCGTGCTGGTGAGAGGGGCCTGCTGTTCAGCACACCTGTGCTGGTGAGAGGGGCCTGTTGTTCAGCACACCCGTGCTGGTGAGAAGATGGCGCCGATGATGGTAGCCTCAGGCGGTCGGTGCGCCCTGTTTTGTCTGTCAATTCAGTGTTTTGCCAAGATTTTCGGAGTTCCCTAACAAGAGACGAACGTTTAAACATCAGGGAAACAACTCCTGTGGATTTATTTCCTACTTTTCTGCTTCCAGTGGCAGAATTAGTGGGCATTCTAGTCAATGCCACGCTAGGCTTCGCTCAAACAGCGAAACGCCACCCAAGGGGTAAACGGTCGGGGGCTCTAGTACGGCTACGCAGACGCGGGATCCGAACAATGCTTTCGAGCTTTTCCCTCTCCAACGTACGTTCACTGTCTAACAAAATGGACGAACTTCAGCTACTGATGGTGAAAAACAGAGACTTTCTTTCATCTTCTGTTTTGTGCTTCACGGAGACATGGCTGTGTGATTTGATTCCGGACACTGCGCTACAACTGGCAGGATTCCATCTTGTAAGATCGGATCATGACATAGCACTCTCCGGCAAGACGAAAGGCGGTGGTATTTGTTTTTACATTAACAGTGGCTCGTGTGTAAATGTCACAGTGATTCTCCAACATTGTTCTCCGCTCCTTGAGTATTTTTTTATAAACTGTAAACCTTTCTACTCACCTCTCGATTTCGCGTCGCTCATTTTGGTTGGAGTTTACTTGCCGCTGGATCCTCAGGTTAAAGAGGCCCAACGCATGCTCGCCGACCAGATTCTGAGTGTGGAGCGAGCAAATCCAGATTCGCTGGTTATCGTACTTGGCGACTTTAACAAAGGTAATCTCAGCCACGAACTCCCCAAATACATACAATTCATTAAATGCCCTACCAGAGAAGAGAACACTCTGGATCACTGCTACACTACAGTCAGTAGAGCCTACCACGCCATCCCCCGAGCAGCACTGGGACACTCTGACCATGCCATGGTCCACCTGATTCCTGCATACAGGCAGAAACTAAAGCTCTGTAAACCTGCTGTGAGGACATCTAAACAGTGGACCAGTGAGGCTGTGGAGGATTTGCGGGCGTGCTTGGACTGTACTGACTGGAATATGTTCACAACTGCTACCAATAGTCTGGATGAACTCACAGAGGCTGTGACGTCGTACATCAGCTTCTGTGAGGACTGCTGTATTCCAACACGTACCAGGGTGAACTTCAACAACAACAAGCCCTGGTTCTCAGCAAAGCTCAGAAAGTTGAGGTTGAAGAAGGAGGAAACGTTTAGGAGTGGGGATAGAGACAGATTCAAGGAGTCGAAGAACAGGTTTAGCAAGGCGGTGAGAGAGGCTAAACGACTGTACTCAGAGAGACTAAAACACCAGTTCTCTGCTAACTACTCTGCTTCTGTCTAGAGAGAGCTCAGGCAGATCACCAACTACAAGCCCAGAGCCCCCCACACCACGAACGACTCCCGCCTTGCCAACGACCTGAACGAGTTCTACTGCAGATTTGAAAGACAATTGGACTGTCCTGAACTACCCCTTCCCACCCAAGAGGCTCCATCGCCCACCCCTACTACAGAGACGACTCTCTCCTTTCAGGAGGGAGAAGTTAATAGACTTTTCAAGAGGCAGAACCCACGCAAAGCAGCTGGGCCGGACTCAGTCTCTCCAGCCACCCTCAGGCACTGCGCTGACCAGCTGTCTCCGGTGTTCACCAACATAATTTAACACCTCCCTGGAGACATGCCATGTACCAGCCTGTCTCAAGTCCTC